TAGTTCATTATGTTGTGGTCTTTCCTCTTAAATCTTCTACAAATAAGAAACAGTAACACTTTATTTTTCTTTTAATTACTTACCATAACCAAGGCACATTATTGAGAAATTCTTAAAGATCTTGTTCTTGTTATCTTACGCCTTTTAATGAAGATGGAAACATTGACAGGGAAATATATTTGAACAAAGAAAGTTTCATAAAGAGCGTGAATGGTAGTGTGATGTAAAATTACTCATGTTAGAAATTTTCATAAAAGTGACCCGATAAAAGGCGTTAACTCGGTAACCCGTGGCCCGATTTTAAAGAAACTTGTTTTATTCTGTTTCTATTCTCATTTCATTACAAATATGGTGCTATTGTGCACAGTTTTTGCTATATTTAATTACAGACAAGCAATCAAACAATCTCAGAGTTTTAGTAGTATATAGATAAACATTAAAACACTTTTGGATTGAGGTTATTAGTACAAGTACTTTGGCTCCAGCATACTCAACCCTTTCAACATTTTTCTTACTGATGTCAATTAACTGGATGGCTAAATTGACAACAGAAATGGTGAAAATCTGCCAAATGGTGACCAATTCTCATCCCTGTTCAATATTTCAAAAACTATGGGCATCTGTTATTGTTCCTATCAACATAATGCAGAAACTTTTTGATGTACTTGAAACCAGCATAATTTAAGTAAATAGTTTATATATAGACTAATTCCTCCTTATTTGAGATTTACATACTTAACCTTTATACTTTAAGCCCTAGTTTGGAATACAAAGATGGCCATCAAATTAAATTTCATAAAATCTTGCTGGAAGACACGATGCTTAAAATCTCATCAACCTGACAACAAGGTCTGATAAAAGTCATACAAATATGGATTAAATAGAGAGAATGGAAATTCATAGAAATTTGTTATTGCAATATATTGTTATTTCTAATGTACTGCAACATTTTACATAATTTATACATTTACCAAGATAATTTCATCCACTTGTTAGCTGCCTAAGCATTTTTTATACTGATAAGTTGTAACATTGTGTACCATTGGCAGATTGCACAATGTTTATCATCAACCTATGTACAGCTTCATCCAATCAGAAAGGGACATACAAAGAGGACTACATCATAATTAAATGTTGCAACCCAGGCAATTCTGAGGTATGTCTCCAAATGACTTCTACAATAGATTGCTTAGTATTAGGACATTGATGGTTATAATGTGAATTGTATTTAATGACAATATTTTTATAGCTTGACCTACATTTTTTGATGAGCAAGTTGAAACCATTTCCATTGTCAATGTGTCTGGAGACTAAGTGGGAAATATAAATTGTTGCCTATTATACGGATCATCTAAAACATTTGGTACCATAAATAAAAAATATACCCCAAAAGAAAGCTTGCCTCATAAGTCATTCATACTTCTATATTTAATTCTGTGATGTTTTATCACTAAAGCTTATGGAATTGAGGCTATGTCACAGCACAAGCATGTCAAAGTAAACAAAATCAACACAATGGGAATAGGGCTGCAAGATAACTCTTAACTTGTCCTTCAACTGGCAAATCATTTGATGATAGAAAGTATGAAAATGTTAAATGTAAATGTTTTCCTCCTTTCTTGAGATTAACTTGCTGAGGAGCATGTACTTAATGATATCTGTCCAAATCTTTATCAAAACCTGGTTAGAAAACTAATAGTTGAAATATTATGTTTTACAAACAAAAAATATAAGAAGACAAGTATTCTGTAAAAGTCATACTCTTAACCCTAATGAAATAAGACATTTAATTACTGATGGTGGACATCTTTAGTTTTAAATACCAAGCTTTACTTCATACTACAATTTCTCAAAAAAACTAAAATGATTCTTGAAATTCATGTAAACATTCTGAAAAATTCTTAAATTTTTTGTGGTAAAGTGTGAAAACCATGAAAACTATGTTTAAAAAAGGTGTAAACACCAGTTTTAAGGAAACGTACTACAATATATTCGTATACCAATAAAACTGTGCACCGCTATTAAATAGATGTCCATTTTTGGTGAACATTTAAACTAAATTTACCAGTGTAGCTTGTTATGTTATAATATGAAAAATCTAAACTTCAACTTCACAGAATAAAATCACAAAGAAATGCTCAAGTTTATTCCTTATTTAAAACGTGAGCCATTAAGACTAGTGTTATCCAGTAAAAGTTTGGAAAGATTTATTGTCAACAGTATCTAAATAATGATTAAATCATCATTACAAATGACTATTACGTAGTTACTATACACAAACAATGGAGATGTACGTATTGTTATTCATGGTTTTCCACAACAATGACTTTCATACATGGCTTCTTATATACAAAATGCACAAGAAAACAAAGTTTGAATACTAGTATATATAACCTCAAACTTGTATGCTATATACATACTGTATATAATGCTCTAGTAAAAATAAGCAAAACCTAAGATAATGAATTTTGCAAAATCTTTATGGCAGTTCTTTTCCCCCTATAAAGATCCTGCACATTTATAATGCTATTGGTAGAGGGTATTACATTCAAGTTAGACTACTGGCATGTGAGAAACAAATTTGTTCTCAAAATGAGACAACTGACCACTGTTAAATGTACAGGTATTTACTTAAAATTAACAATACAAAATCTAAAAATCAATGATATTACATGAAGTCTAAGTTCAATGAATATGAATAATGTACAAAAAAGTCACAATACAAATGACAGCAAAGGCTTAGAAAGCATATCTTGTTCTGATGTCTTCCAACTTCTTGGAGACCTAAAACAAAGAATTCCCATTTTTACCCACACATGGAAAAAGAATATATATAAAACAATAAAGAACACAACAAGTTTTTAATGATAAGTATTAAAATAAATTTCTCTGAAAAAGATTAAAAAGTCATAGAAACCATTTAAAACTAGATAAAACTTGGGAGAAAAAAAAACACACTTAGCATCGAAAAAAGTTGAGTTACATTCTTTGTAGTATATTCTTTAATCTAGTTTAATGTTAGAATATTGAATAAATGTAAATTAGTCAATTAGCTAAAGGGATCAAAATAAAAACAATAACAATACTGCTGCATAGCTATGCCAAAAAACAGCTCACCTCACTTGGATTTCGATCCAGATCTTCAGCAATGCTCTTTTGTTTACTAGGTTCCAAAGAGTTGAACTGTTCACACAGGTCTCCATCAATCACATTCTAAAAAGTACAAGTTTAATGTTCATACAAAAACTGAAAAATCAAACAACATAGCTATATTCTATACAATCAAAAAGGTAGCAGGCATGAAAACTGACAAATCAATGAACAAAATCACATTCTACATGTCAAGTATGTGTCTGTTCTAAACTGACAATAAAATAATCACATTCTACAAAGTCATGAAGTTACCAGTTCTAAATATAAATTAAAACTGAGAAGTCAAAGGAAATAAATTGTACAAAGTTATGGAGGTACCATTTAACACTGTATACAGATGCAAAATGACATGTCAAACGTTTCTAATCACATTTAACAAGTTAGGAAACAACTACTTATCACCCTGTATTAAAGGAGAAACTGACAAATCACACTTCCTTACCTTGACAGGGAAATAGTACGATCTGAAGGACAGGTGATCACGGCCACACAATGGAGGATTTTCCGAGCGCATGTGCATCTCTAAATGTTGGAAAAAATCGTGGTCCTGTATACAGAACATTAGCATTAGAAATATTGTAAATCACAGAGACTGATAAATGTTAAATTCATTATTCAGATGTTCTACTTCATAAGCAGTGAGGAAATAATACGTTTAATCTTCCTCACAGCTGTTATGAATAAGTTGTTAACATACTGAATTATGGTTTTGTATTAATACAGATGAATAAAATATACACAATTAAAAATTTTTGAAGAGTTATGTGAAAACAAACTACTATTTCTAAGAAAGCGCACCTAATATTACTTAAAAACATGCTTTTAAAAATAATGTTAGTAACATTAAAATCATTCTTGTCCTACAAACCAGGCTAGGCTTATAAAATAGCAGTTTGAAACTGATATTGTATCAAACTGGACAGTATTTTCTGAATTTGACTTTTGATGACAAATACAGGGAAAACTATCTTTATAGTGATACATTCACTACGTTAGCTATGATAATGTCTAGAGAAATTGTGTGTATAGATAATTTTTTTTGTCATTAGAGTATGGTAACATAAACTGCAGACTGATATAAAAGACTACACATTAATCAATGTGTCTGTACCTCATGCGAAGTGAATGGAACAAGGACCCCCACTGTTCCAGAGAGGGTTGTGTACACCAAGGACTCTGAGCCTCCAGGGATGAGAGTGGCCTTCTGGAGTGATAAAATCACTTCACCTATGTGAAAGCTGGCTATTGTTTCTGCCTGTAATAGTAAAATATACCTCTGAATTTAAAACATAATCACTACAGCAAATATCCAACATAATTACGATCAATATATATATAGATATACAAGCGTGAGCATTTAGCACTATTTATTTTCTATGAGGGAGCTTTTTGGAAATAATACACTGATCTTTCAAATATACTTTCTGTAAAGCAGCTTTTTAGAAAAAAATTAACTCATATTTATTAACTCTTTTTATTACAGCAGTGTTGTATGTTTGTATTTCCTAACCTTTTGCAGTTTTACATTCAAAATTTAATCAAACAGCTTTACTATCAATAAACTGGACATGAAAATGTAGTTTGAAATTAAAATTTTTATTTTATTTAAGTATTTGAACTTCTTATTTCCAAACATAAT